TGGGAAAGAAAGACCGAAAGCAACAAAGACTAGAAAGGAAAAGAGAAAAGCTCCAGAAACAAGCACTTAACAAATAATACAATGGCAACAAATTTGTATCTTTCAGTAATCACTCTGAATGTAAATGGGCTACATGCCCCGTCAACAGTTATGGGGTATCAGAATGGATATAAAAAACAAGACACACATTTTAGACCCAAAGACACCTCCAGATTAAAAGGGAGGGAGTGGAGAACGATTTGTCATGTTATGGACATCAAAAAAAGCTGGAGTAGCCATACTAACATTAGACAAGATTTTAAAACAAAGCCTGTAACAAGAGATGTAGAAGAGCATTAAATCATAATTAAGGGGTCTATCCATCAAGAAGATCTAACAATTATAAATATTTATGCCCTCAACTTGGGAGCAGCCAAATATATAAATCAATTAATAACAAATATAAAGAACTTATTGATAATAATATAATGATAGTAGGGGACTTTAACACCTCACTTACAGCAATGGACAGATCATCTAAGCAGAAGATCAACAAGGAAACAAGGGCTTTGAATGACACACTGGATCAGATGGACTTAACAGATATACTCAAAACATTTTCTCCTAAGGCAGCCAAATATACATTCTTTTCGAGTACACATGGGACATTCTCCAGAATAGATAACATCCTGGGTCACAAATCAGGCCTCAACAAGTACAAGGAGACTGAGATCGTACCATGCATATTTTCAGAACACAACATTGTGAAACTTGAAGTCAACCACAAGAAAATATTTGGAAAGGCCACAAATACATGGAGGTTAAAGAATGTCCTACTAAAGAATGAGTGAGTTAACCAAGAAATTAAAGAAGAAATTTAAAAATACATGGAAGCAAATGAAAATGAAAACAGGATAGTCCAGAACCTTTGGGATGCAGCAAAGGCAGTCCTAAGAGGGAATTATACAGCAATACAGGCCTACCTCCAGAAGCAAGAAAAATCTCAAATATACAACCTAACCTTACACCTAAAGGAGCTAGAAAAAGAACATCAAATGAGTTTAAGCCAGCCAAAGAAGGTAAGTAATAAAGATCAGAACAGAAATAAATGACACAGAAACAAAAAAAAAAAAAAAAGGGCTAGATCAATGAAACTAGAAGCTGGTTCTTTCAAAGAATTAACAAAATCGATAAACCCCTAGCCAGGCTTATCAAAAAGAAGAGAACAGACTCAAAAAGTAAAATCACAAACGAGAGAGGAGAGATCATAACAAATACCACAGAAATACGAACAATTATAAGAGAATATTACGAAAAATCATATGCCAACAAATTGGGCAATCTGGAAGAAATGGATAGATTCCTAGAAACTTACAAACTACCAAAACTGAAACAGAAAGAAAGAGAAAATTCGAACAGACCGATAACCAGCAAACAAATTGAATCAGGAATCAAAAATCTCCCAATAAACAAAATCAGGGCCAGATGGCTTCCCAGGTGAATTCTACCAGGCATTTAAAGAAGAGTTAATATCTAGTCTTTAAAAACTGTTCCAAAAAATAAAAATGGAAGGAAAACTTCCAAACTTATTCTACAAGGCCAGTATTACCTTGATTCCAAAACCAAAGACCCCACTAAAAAGGAGAATTACACACCAATATCCTTGATGAACATGGATGCAAAAATTCTCAACAACATACTAGCAAATCAAATCTAACAGTACTTTAAAGGAATCATTCACCATGATCAAGTGGGATTTATTCCTGGGCTGCAAGGTGGGTCAACAACCGCAAAGCAATCAACATGATACACCACATTAATAAAAGAAAGGATAAGAACCATATGATCCTGTCAACAGATGCAGAAATATCATTTGACAAAATATAGCACCCTATCTTAATAAGTTTACTCAAGAAAGTAGGATAGAAGGAACATACCTCAACATCATAAAGGGCATATACAAAAGACCTAGAGCTGATGTCATCTTCAATGTTGAAAAACAGAGCTTTACTCCTAATGTCAGAAACAAGACAAGGACACCCACTCTTATGTTATTTAATACAGTACTGGAAATTCTAGTTTCAGCAGTCAGACAACAGAAAGAAATACAAGCATCCAAATTGGCAAGGAAGAAATCAAACTTTCACTCTTTGCAGAAAACATGATACTGTATGTAGAAAATCCAAAAGACTTCACCAAAAAACTGCTAGAACTGCCAAATTCAGTAAAGTCACAGGATACAAAACCAATATACAGAAATCTCTTGCATTTCTATACACCAATAACGAAGCAGCAGAAAGAGATATCAAGAAATCAATCCCTTTTACAATAGCACAAAAAACACAAGATACCTAGGAATAAACCTAACCAAAGAGGTAAAAGATCTGTACTCTGCAAACTACAGAACACTCCTGAAGGAAACTGAAGAGGACACAAAGAGATGGAAATGCATTCCATGCTCATGGATTGGAAGAACAAACATTAGTAAAATGTCTTTACTTCCCAGAGCAATCTACACATTTAATGCAGTCCCTATCAAACACCACCAGCAGTTTTCACAGAACTAGAACAAACAATCCTAAAATTTGTATGGAGCCACAACAGACTCTGAACAGCCAAAGAAATCTTGAAAAAGAAAGGCAAGGCTGGAGGCATCACAATTCCAGACTTCAAGCTCTATCAAAAAGCTGTAGTCATCGAGACAGTATGGGACTGGCACAAAAACAAACACAGAAATCAATGGAACAGAATAGAGAACCCAGAAATGGACCCACAACTGTATGGTCAACTAATCTTTTTTTTTTTTTAAATTTTTATTTGACAGAGAGATCACAAGTAGGCAGAGAGGCAGGCAGAGAGAGACAGGAGGAGGAGGCAAGCTCCCTGCTGAGCAGAGAGCCCAACGCGGGACTCGATCCCAGGACCCTGAGATCATGACCTGAGCCGAAGGCAGAGGCTTTAACCACTGAGCCACCCAGGCGCCCCATCAACTAATCTTTTTTTTTAAAGATTTTATTTATTTGACAGAGAGACCACAAGTAGGCAGAGAGGCAGGCGGTGGGGGCAGAGGGGAAGCAGACTCCCTGCTGAGCAGAGAGCCCAATTCAGTGCTCGATCCCAGGACCCTGAGATCATGACCTGAGCCAAAGGCAGAGGCTTAACCCACTGAGCCACCCAGGCGCCTCATGGTCAACTAATCTTTGACAAAGCAGGAAAGAATATCCAATGGGAAGAAGTCTTTTCAACAAATGGTGTTGGGAAAACTGGACAGCAACATGCAAAATAATGAAACTGGACCCCTTTCTTATACCATCCATAAAAATAAATTCAAAATGGATGAAAGACTTAAATGTGAGACAGAAAACCATCAAAATCCTACAGGAGAACACAGGCAGCAACCTCTTTGACCTTGGTCACAGCAACTTCTTACTAGGTAGGTCTCTGGAGGCAAGGGAAACAAAAGCAAACTACTGGGACTACTGGGACTTCATCAAGACAAAAAGCTTTTCATAGCAAAAAAAAAAAAATCAAAACTAAAAGACAACCTACAGAATGGGAGAAGATATTTGCAAATGACATATCAGATAAAGGGCTAGTATCCAAAATCTATAAAGAACGTATCAAACTGAACACCCATAAGACAAATATCAAGTTGAGAAACGGGCAGAAATATGAACAGACATTTCTCTAAAGAAGACATCCAGATGGCCAACAGCACATGAAAAGGTGCTCAGCATCACTCATCATCAGCGAAATACAAATCAAAACCATAGTGAGATATCACCTCACACCTGTCAAAATGGCTAAGATTAACAACACAGGAAATGACAGATGCTGGTTGAGGATGCAGAGAAAGGGGAACCCTCCTATGCTGCTGGTGGGAATGTAAATGGGTGTGGTCACTCTGCAAAACAGTATGGAGGTTCCTCAAAGAGTTAAAAAATGGAGCTACCCTATGACCCAGCAATTGCACTACTGGGTATTTACCCCAAAGATACAAAAATACTGATTCAAAGGGACACATGCACCCCAATGTTTATAGCAGCACTGTCAACAATAGCCAAATTATGGCAAGAGTCCAAGACGTCCATTGACTAATGCATGGATAAATAAGAAGTGAGATAGATAGATAGATAGATCAATATATATATATATATATATATATTGAGCCGTAAAAAAGAATGAAACCTTGCCATGTATGATGGTGTGGATGGCACTAGCGAGTATTATGTTAAGCGAAATAAGTCAGATAGAGAAAGTCAAATATCATATGATTTCACGTATATGTGGAATCTGAAAAATAAAACAAATCAAAAAACCAGAAACAAACAGATTCTTAAATACAGAGAACAAACTGATGGTTGCCAGAAGAGAGATCGATGGGTTAATGGCAAAATAGATAAGGGGGATTAAGAGTACGAACTTCCAGGTATAAAATAAGTAAGTCATAGGAATGAAAGGTACAGCACAGGGAACAGAATCAATAATACCGTAGTAACATTTGTATGGTGACAGGCGGTGATTACCCTTACTGTGGTATTTAGCAATGTATATGACTTTCCAATCAATATGTTATACATCTGAGGTGCGCCTGGGTGGCTCAGTTGGTTAAGCATCTGACTCTGGATTTCGGCTCCGGTCATGACCTCAGGGTTTTAAGACTGAGCCCTGTGTCGGGCTCCGTACGGGGCAGGGAACCTGCTTAAGATTCTCTCTCTCCCCCTGCCCTTCTCTGCATCCCCCTCTAAAAAATATGTTGTCCATCCACAAGTATGTTAATTATTATTATGTTAATTATGTTAATTATATGTTAATTATCCTTCCACAGAAAAATCCATAAGCTAAGATAAATAAAGCAGCCACGGACAAGAGAAAGAACTTCACACAAGGGACATGAATGACCCATAAAAATTCCCTGATTATGCTGCTTGCTTAAGGAAAAAGTCATACAAATAAAAATCATGAGACACTATCTTTCATTCTGGATGAATTCCTGGCCCTGGGCCCCTCTTCCTCCTCACCTCACAGGAGTCGTCACAGGTCCCCATGCCCAGAGCCAGGGATGGCCCAGGAGAGCTGGGGTTGGCTGCCATGTTCCCACTGGACCTCAGCCCTCCAGCTCTCTTGCTGATGCTCCTCCCACAAGCCTGAAGCCAAGTGGGGTCCGTGGACTCCGTGAGAGCTGTTGGGGCCAGGAAGCAGCTCCTGCAGCCTCCACTACGGGGTCTGGCCCACAGGCTCCACGAAGACTCCAAGAAACCTGGAAAGACAGTGTCCACACGGTCAGTCATTCAGCATTCACCCCACAAATGCTTCCGGGGGGTACCAAAGTACAGTCCCTGGCCTTGCATACTGTGGGGTAGTCACAGTCCAGTCAAATAAAAGGCATGACCTATTCTAGTCATCCATCAAAATGGAAAATGAGTAAGACCATGAGATATAGACGACCATCACTAAAGCCTTAAATTCTCGCTTTGGCAACTTGTAGTGATGAGAATATAAAAACATTTCTCAAGTTTTCTTTTCAAAATGAGTCAAAACTCTTCACCTCAAGGGGTTGTGAAAATTCAATGAGATGATGTTTATAAGGCACCTCGCAGCAGGCTGACCCAGGGAACATTTTTTTTTCTTTAAAGTTTTTATTTATTTGAGTAACCTCTACACCCAACGTGGGGCTTGAACCCATGACCCCAAGATCAAGAGTCACATGCTCCTCTGATTGAGCCAGCCAGACACCTCTAAGCTTTTTTTTCTTCTTCACAGTTTTACAGTATATCATTGTCGCCCAGGGAACATTTAATTCACATTAGCAAGTACTGTCATTACTTTAACGGATCAGGTAATATGCGGAAGGGGGTACCTCACTTAATTTGCACAATGATCCTCTCACCCGTGTGTTGCCACAATTACTATTATTTCATTTTATGCACACAGAGACAGAGGCTTAAGCGATATTAAGTCAAAGTCAGTCTACCTGGCTTCAAAATTCACCTTCTCAACACTAACGCACAGTACTTTTTGTGTGGTAGGCTTAAACGTGGTTCTGTTTAACAGATGTTAAGAACCTGACTGTGATTTGGAACACACAGAAAAAGTAGATTTTCTTAAAACAGAAGAGATAGGCCATAAGGAAAATGCTAATAGCCTGGGATTCCAATGTCTGAACTACCTCAGAATAGTCAGAGGTAAATGTGTCTCTCTTCTCACAGGATCTAGGGAGGAGAGGATGTCTCTGTGTCTATGCTGAGGAACAATTTTATTCTGATCAACCAATAAAAGCAGTACAGATTTAGTCATTCTTTCTGGGAAAGGGAAAGTATCCTTTATAAGATGAAGAAGAACTTAATTAAGAAAAGCAGAAGTAAGAAATGGGATAAAGAGGAAACAAGAAAGTAAATAAGGAATAAAATAAAAGGCATGAACAAGTTGAATTTTAAACCCATAAACATGATGTTATATCAGAGAAGGACTATGCTTTCTTTCCTGACGCCCATGGAACTTGTATACAACTCCATTAAATAACTTGGCCACAAAGAAAATCTAGTAGGGGCACCTGGGTGGCTCAGTTGGTTAAGTCAAGCAACTGACTCTGGGTTCCAGCTCAAGTCATGATGTTATGGGTCTTGGGATCCAGTCCCATGTAGGGCTCTGGACTCAGCAGGGAGTATGCTTGAAAGAGTCTCTCCCTCCTACCTTCCCCTCACTCACTCACTCACTTTCTCTCTAATAAATAAATCTTAAAAAAAAAAAGAAAATCTGGTAGATGTTTTAATGTTGGGAATTGATAGGCTACATGGTCTGATCATAACATAAGACGTTCAATATCATTAGTCATTAGGGAAATGCAAAGCAAAACCAAAATATTCCATTCATTAGCAGACCGCTTCACATCCATGAGGATGGCTAAAAAAAGACTGTAGCAGGTATTGGTGCGATGGCAATAAACTGGAGCTATCATATGTTGCTGGTAGAAATATAAAATGGTATAGAGCCACCCTGACAAACAGTTTGGCAGTTCCTCAAAATGTTACCTATAGAGTCACTATATGATCTGGCAACTCCACTCCTAGGTCCCTCGCCAGGAGAAATGGAAACACATGTCCGCTCCAAAGCTTATATATACAACTGTTCACAGTGGTATTATTCATAGTAGCCAAAAAGTGGAAACCACCTCAATGGCCATCAAATGAAAATGAATAAACAAAATTTAGTATAGCCATACAATGGAGTATTATTTGGCAATTAAAAAGAAGTACTGATACGTGGTACTTCAGCATGAATAAACCTTGAAGTCAATATCTTATGGGAAAGAAGCCAGTTGTGAAAGACCCCATATTTTATGATTCCATTGATGTGAAATATTCAGAATAGGCAAATACATAGACACAGAAAATTGGTTAGTAGTTGCCTAGTCTGGGGGTGTGGGGTGGCTTGAATAGTCAATGTCGGCTAATGTGTATAAGGTTTCTTTTCAGAGGTATTGAATGTGTTCTAAAATCAGATTGTGGTGATGACTGTACAACTCTGTGAATGTAACAATAACCTCTGAACCGTATGCTCTAAATAGATGAATTTTATGGTACTGGAATAGATCTAATCTATTTTGTATATATAAATAAGTCTGTTTAAAAAAAAAAAGGAAGACTTGCCTAAATAACCCAAGGGTCAAAGTGGGAAGTCAATACAGAAGCTACACGAGTCTTACAAAAAATCATGGAACACACTGAAGTCATACAGAGTGAAATTTACAGCTTTAAGTGACTTGATTATAATTAAAAATAAATATAACAAAAAAGCTACGTATTCAGCCTAAAACATTAGAATTAAAAAAACAAAACTAGGTAAAGCCCCCCCAAATAAACTAGTCATTAATAAAAATAAACTAATTAAAAATAAATTAAATATAAAAATAAATTTAAGGGGTGCCTGTGTGGCTCAGTGGGTTAAAACCGCTGCCTTTGGCTCCTGGGATCAAGCCCCACATCAGGCTCTCTGCTTAGTAGGGAGCCTGCTTCTCTCTCTCTCTCTCTGCCTGCCCCTCTGCCTACTTGTGATCTATGTCAAATAAGCACTATAAAAAAAATTTAAAAATAAAAAAATTAAATAATTCAAATAAATATACTATGGGGTTTAAAGAAAATAAAGAGCTGGTCCTTTGAAATGACCAATGTCATAGATAACCCCCTAGCAAACTAGATAAAGGAGATGAGTTGTTGGGGGTTTTTTTTAGATTTTATTTATTTATTTCAGAGAGAGTATGTGAGAGAGAAAGTGCGCGTTTGCCCGCACACACAAGTGGGGGGAGGGGCAGAGGGAGAGAGGACGCAGACCCCCTGCTGAGCAGGAAGCCCCATGCAGGGCTTGATCCCAGGACCCCAAGACCATGACCTGAGCCAAGGCAGATGCCCAACCAACTGAGTCACCCAGGCACCCCAAGGAGAAGAGTTTAAAAAATACATATATATATATATGCATATACATAAATATATATAAGTATATATATATATATATTTTTTTTTTTTTTCCAAATGTGTGGAAAATCTTTCTCAGGGCAGTGTTTCAAAGTAGTTATTGTGGAATATTATGCATAACTGTATAGCAACATATTTTAATCCTGATGTGAAACAGGTGCTTCCCTAGCAAGGTGTAAATTAACAAAGTTAATACAGGAAAAAACAGAAGAGAAAAAAAATGTAGAAGAGACCAGGAAAAAATGACATAAGACAACAAATACAAATAGTAAGACTCTGACACGTAGAAAGGAAAGGCAAACAGTCCATGGATCTCAGGGCCTGAGGAACAACACACTCGTGAGTTCCCTAGGTTTCCTTTTCCTCCCATATATCAGAAACAGGATACTGGAGAAGTTTATAACTCAGAACTGTCAACAGCCATAAACGAAAAAGCTCTGAGAAATGCCTACTTACCTTAATCACAGGATCAAGAAGAGGGTTACCTAACTAAATGCCACCCCACTCCAGCCAAATACTAACAGAAAACACATTCTCTTAAAGCACCCAGGCAACATTCTCCAAGACATACCACACCCAGGGTCATTAAAAAAACCTCCATCAATTGCAATCTATATCCTCTAATATCATCAAACTAGAAATCAACAACAGAAAGATAACAGGAGAGTCTCCAAACACTTGAAAATTAAACAATACATTTCTATATCACCCATGGATCAAAGAGGTGGTCTCAAGGCAAATTAAAAAGTCACGAATGAAAATAAAAATACAACATATCAAAAGTTGGGGGATGCAGATAAAGCAGTGTCAAGAGGGAAATTTATAGCACTAAGATTTTATATGAGAAAAGAATTAAGGTCTTAAACCAATAATTTAAGCTTCCATCTCAAGAAACTAGAAAAAGAACAAAGTAAACCCAAAGCAAGCAGAAGGGAGAAAGCAATAAATATAAGAGCATAAAGCAATGAAACTGAAAACACTTACCAAATTGTTGAATCACTCTACTGTACACCTGAAAACAAACAAAAATAGTTGAGATAAAATATGTATGTAAATACAGAAAAAAAGAAAGAAATTGAAAACAGAAAAACAATACAGAACAATCACTGAAACCAAAAGCTGGTTCTTTGAAAAGAGTGATAAAATTGGTAATCCACTAGCAAGACTGATAAAGAGAAAAAGAAACAAGATACAAATTACCAATAGTAGAACTGAAACATAAGATATAATTACAGATGCTGCAGCCATTAAACAAAAGTAAGGGAATACCACAAATAACTTAAATGCACATAAATTGAACAACTTGGATGAAATAGTCCAATTCTCCACAAAACACAAACTTCCACAACTCACCCACTATTAAATATATCTCTGAAAAGATTCAAATAGACAACCTGAAGCCATATAACTATTACAGAAATTGAAGCCATCATCAAAAAGCTTCCAAAAGGAAATGTCCAGGCCCAGAGGGTTTCGCTGGAGGATTTTATCAAACGGTTAAAGGAAAAATTAGCATAATTCTACATAATCTCTTCCAGAAAATAATTCCTACCTCAGTCTATGAGGCCAGTACTACTCTAACACTAACACCAAACAAAAACAGTACAAAAAACTAAAACTGTAGAACAATATCTTTCATAAACCGAGTGGCAGAAAATCCTTAAAAAAAAAAAAAAAAGCAGTAGCTAATCCATTCCTGCAACACATGAAAAGAATTATACACTACAACCAAGTGAGGTTTA